TGGTTCATAAGGAGAGCTGCAGGGGAGAAGGCTAGAGATGGAGGCAAGGGACAAATTTTGAGAACTCTTTACAAGCTGTTCCTTGGAGTTTTATTCTGTATTAAGGGAGCAATACTGGAATATTTTAGGCAAGAGAATAGGATAAAGTTTGAGTTTGAAAGAGGCCTCTGGTTAGAGGGTGGGGGAGCAGATAATAAGTCCAGGAAACCAGTTAGATAAACTTATCACATGGGATGGGAAAGACTGGGCTAGAAGTCATGTGGTGGTGGTAAAGATGGAGATGAGGAGACCAAACTGAAAGATGTTCAGGAGACAGAATTGATAGAAATTGTAAGGAAAGAGGTGTGGGGTGGGATGGAGTACAGGATGAGTTCCCTATGCTACCTACCTCTCTTGACTAGATGGTGGTGGCACTAACCTAGACAGGTAATATAGGAGGGACACATCAGTACTGGGGTAAGATAAGTCTTTTTGGACATGTTGGAGTGGAGATACCTGCAAAGTATCTAGGTGGACAGTGGATAAGAGATAATTAAACTCACGAGACAGATCTATACTGGGAAGAGCTATTTAGGAATCACCACTTTATAGAAGATATTTGAAGGCAGGGAAACCAGCAATTCCAGAATAACTAGAAGTTTATCATCTGTGATGAGTTAGTCGAATGTTACTATCAACATCAACATCCTTTTAGTTTCAAGTCCTTTGCCAACTTAGAGATGGCATGTCTTTCTTTTCCTCCACATCTTCCCCAAGTCATCGCTTCACCCTTGGCCTAGTTGCACATGAAGAGGGAGAAGATAAATTGTGTGATTTGGGGCAAGCTGTGTAAACTCCCATTGCCAGCTTCTTCATCTATAAAAAGGGGATCTCCTAGGTGGAGATGATCTTGTCTACTAATCAACTGAAGAAACTGAACATGAAAGACATCAAACTGATGCTCTTACCTTACCAGACACTTAGCCTAGTTGGTACAGGACACTGCTCACTGCAGCTGCACAGCACTATCTCCCCTGCATGTGCCTTTACCTGCCGGTGCTAGTTCACCTTTTACCTAAGACGTGGTAACTAACTGAAGAGCATCCTTAGAATGGTCGCAAAATGCATGTAAGCTGCCGAAACCACTGTGATAAGAGCCCTTGGTAACAATTTACCTTCGTTCTGCATGGGCTTTACTCTAAGTGTATACAGATGTATGACTTTTCTGCCAAATAGTCATCCTGGCCAAGAATGGGATGGCCCCTCCACAGGAATGCGTAGGTGATGACATTTCTTTCACCATCTTGGCATCTAAACATGACACTCGATCTGGTAACAATGCACTGAGCTCCCGATTGTTTATGGCACAGCTCTAGGCGGAATGGGCTGTCACGCCTACACTACTGCACTCCATCCCACTCTTGTTACAATGTGTAATTAGAACAGAACACAGCCGCTTGAATGTTCCAGCAGGCCCCCAAAAAAACAGCCACTGTCAAAAATTTCCTGCCTGTGGCCATGTATAATAAAACATACAAGAAGCTATGCCAGGAAGTCACATTGGTTTTCAAAAACATCTTGTGAGATCATCCCCAAACCCACTTTCCTCACATTTCTCAAACCCATCATTTCTTTTACTTACTCAAAGTTCAAGCCCATGGAACTGACACCTCTTTCTCCCTCATCCCTTGTATGCAGGCAGTCATTATCCTATATAATAAAAGCCTAATATGCTAAGTGTCCGGTCATCCAGTCAGCCTTTCAACCAACCAAAGTGTAATATGCTAATGATATGCTAAGGCCACTCAACTGCTCGCTATGATGTGCACTGACCACCAGGGAGCAGATGCTCAACCAGTGGCAGGGGGAAGGGCCAGCGAGTGGGCGGCGCCAGGCCGCCAGCCAAGGTAGGTGAGAGCAGGGGGTGGAGGGGGGACCTCGATCACCCTGCCGGTTGCCCTGCAGAGGGAGGCGACCGGCAGGGGGGGCAGGGCCGGTGAGCAGGTGGTGCCAGGCCAGCCAAGGAAAGTGCAAGCAGGAGCCCAAATCACCCACAGATGGGCCCTGATTGCCGGCAGGGCCTAGGGACCCTACCTGTGCACCGGGCCTCTAGTTTATCAATAGTAGTACTACTAGTCATTCCTATTTAGTGTATGTCAGGCAGACCCTGTGTTAAGTGCTTGTAAGTACCTTATCAAATTTAGTTACAACTTTCCAAGGTAGGACTATTTTTATCCCATCTTGCAGCTGTAGACATGTGGAGTAGAGAAGAAGGAGCCCAAATCACAAAGCTAGAAAATGGCAGAGCTGGAATTTGGGTGCAGTTTCTCTGTCACTAAACTGCACTATATTCCCTCTTGTGGCGCATTAATAATCGTATCTTTTATTTATGAGGCACTCTGAAGTTCACAAAGCATTCTCACAAGGCATATCATGTGATCCTCCAAACAGAGCAGAGAACTCGGCAGAACACATCTTATGCCCATTTTCACAGAAGTGACTAAGACTCAGAGTTAACCTGACTTGCTCACGGCCACTTGTGTCTGAGCCTTGGACTCAGACCTTCGGTCTCTTTTCATTATTCCCATAAATATCATGCTCTTTCCTCAGAGAAGATGTTTCTTCTTTTGAATGACCAATGTATGAAATTTACTAGGTCAGTTTTGGTTTTCTACAAAGACATTTTTCATAATCAGAGTTTTTCAAAAGCATAACAGGAGGGAATGTGTTCTCCGTCCCTTTCGGTTTTCATTCAAACACTGGGCAGTCCCTGGACTAGAAAGCCATAACTATGCCCAAGCCCCAGGAGAGGGGAGGAGGCGGCAGATGGAGTAGATGAGCTCTGAGACCCATCTACTTCTCAGATCCTATGACTCTGTTTCCTGGCAACCACACTGTCTTCATCATTTTGGTTGCAGTAGCTCTACTCCCTCCCTCCTAGCTCACTCATGTCATCTCCTAGCTGACTTCCTGGACTGTCCCTTCAAACCCATCCAGCCTCCCTTGATCAAGGTTATCTTCCAACACAGATTTTCCCATTTGTAATTCTCTTCCTAAATCTTCATGGTCCCCTTTGGCCAACCACACCTATTTGATAACTGTTGGATATTTCTTGGTTTCTCTACATCCTCTATACAAACTCCTTTTTCATTTCCTCCACACTCAGTTTCTGCTTCAGTCAACCCAATCATTAACTTGAGTCACACAGACATCATACCTATTTCCTTTGCTTTCTTTGTTCCCTTCTCCTGAAATATTCTCCACTTTCCCCCTTGTCCACCTAGCCATAGCCACAGTTTTGTTTTTTTTTCAGGCCTAAGTCAATCTTATTACAGTACAACAACAACGACAAAACACACAATTTTAATGAATTTCTTACCCAACACACAAAAGTATAGAAATAATCTTCTAGTCATGCATTGAGGCAATGGGGACACAAAAGATAGCCCTGCCCTCAGGGAAAGATAAAATCAGCTCTCCTGTGCAATCATTACATTTTAAACACTGGTTCTACATTGGCTTATGTTCTTTGTATTTTGTGAAAGCTGATTCTGTCTCACAAAAGGTAGCCATCTCCAACACAGCCCCTCGAAATGGCCGGTAAGCAATAGCTACAACTTGCATGATTCAGGTGTCTAGGATTGCATAACCTCCCCTTACCCCATATTCTCACACACATACACATATGCACATGCAACCCACCAATTATTTGAATTTCCAGCGTAGTGGAAGGGGCACATGGCATTTAGAGTTTTTGAGGCCTGGAATTATCCCCTCTTTCTGGGAAAAGGAGTGCCACAGAACCTGGGTTCAAGAACTACAGTTTGGAGTCTGACCTCTGGTTTAAGCCCCAGCTCTGCCACAAGCTGGGTGACTTTAATAGGTCACTTAATGTCTCACTGCATCAACTTTGTCAACAGAAAAATGAAGATGATACAGAACAGCTGTACCCAGCACCATCCTTTTCCCTGTGGGGTTATTATTGTAAAGATTAAGTGAACTAATACAAACACAGCATCAGAACAAGTCCTAGCAAATGGTCATCACGGAATAAGTGTTCGCTATTCTTATCATCACTAATATGGTGACCTTAGGTGACTTAAATTTCTTGAGTGTCTGTGTCCTCATCTTTAAGATGAGAGCAGTGCTCATTTCCATAACTGGCTCTGAGAATTAAATGTGAAAGCATTGAGAAAGCACCCAGCTCTCCCAGGAGAGGTTCCTCATCTTTGACCCAAGGCCTGGACTTCTAACGCCACATGATACGACATCTTTCTCCTGCCTCTGCTCCTCATAGCAGTTTCACATGTCAATCATTCCTGCTACTGTAGTAAGCGCTTGTTTTTATCCCATAGAAAATATTTGCCTCTTACAAATTCAGCTTTAGGAAATTACCACCTAAATTACACCAGATGATTGCATAAGCAAAAGACGGGTCAAGTTCACCGAGCCCGCAGGCGGCTTCTCCACAGCCAGCCGGTCTGTGTTAGCCAACTAAGAACCGCAGAAAGAGGAACTGGCCCTCTCCAGGAAGGTTGGGGCCCCCAGCACATCACAGCATGTAAAATGTGGGTAAGATGAATATCAAGAGCAGCCTTGAAAGCAAAAAGGAGTCAAAGCAGGTCAGACAGCTGCTGGAGGGAGCTTAGGAGGGAGGAGAGCCTGACTCACCAGCTCTGCCCGTGGGGATCATGCAACCGAGTTTCCAGGAAGCGCAGGCTTCCCAGTCCTGGATGCTAGGCCCCACCTCACAGCCTGGTGGGTGCAGACCTAAGCCATGGGCTGGGCTCTGAGAGCCCAGGGCGCCTAAAATGGGGTTAAGACTGGTTGCCTTGGTTGCCTGCTCTCTAGAAATTATGCTGAGCAGCCCTCCCCGACCCAGGACAACAGTTTAACTAGCACAGGAAGGCACGGAGGACCCCTCGGGAGACACCCAGGGTCTTCTGGGCTGGGCTTGGCTGTGGAAAATGGAAGTCAGGCCCAAGGGAGGAGACTTCAAACTCAAATACTGACTTGCCTACCTTCCAGCCAAGGTTGTACTTCCTCCCAGAAGAATGGAATTGTTCTTGAGGCTCCTGCAGACTTTCTAGAGCCTTGCCTTGAGTGAATGCAGAGGTGTCCTACAGGGCTCCATATGACTTCTCTGTAGGACTAGGCTGGGAAGTTCTCAGCTCCATTAGGGGGCAGCATGCAGAGACTGCAAGTTCACTGGGGAACCACTGGCACAGAAGGGGTGAAGGGATGCTCGAAGGGCATCTAAAGGAGAAAGCAAGGCATTAAGGTACAAGTAAGACAAGAGCACACAGAGTCATACCATTCTGGAATGTTTTGATGGAGCCAGAATCCTCTCATGAGACATTCCTCGGGTTTATATCAAGGCCAGACAAATTAATTCATAAAAGCTGAGTAAAGACCAGTTTAAGTCACAAACAATTTTATATTATTCCTAAGAGATGTCTCCATAAGGCCACAAGAGGAATAATATTAGTCAATAAAGGAATAGTTGACCTGCCTTCCTGCCACATATTGCTCTGGGGTGCCGTAATTTTTTAGCAAGTTAATAATTCATCGTGCTGGGTGAAAGGGCAGAGGGTTGCCACTGTCCTGACTAGAACCAACTACACTTAGGTGTCAATCACACAGGACCTCGCCTGTTGTTAAGTTAATAAAATGGTTGATAAAATTGGAGTCCATTCTTCTCAGTGGTCCCTGAACAACTGTGGAGAAAGGAAATCTTTTCCAGATATTTTATTTGTATTTACCATCATGTGTAAATCAACCTCAATGTAAGAAAGGGCATTACCTGATGATAGGCAGGAAAATAACAGGGAACCTACAACTTTGGGGGCAAAATAAATTTGCAAAGCCACGCAAACCATCAGAGGTCAATTGAGGCTTGTGTGTCCTATAGGTCTTTGCACTAGCTCAGGGGTGGGCAAACTTTTTTACTCTAGGGCCACAATGGGTTCTTAAACTGGACCGGAAGGCCGGGACAAAAGCATGGATGGAGTGTTTGTGTGAACTAATATAAATTCAAAGTAAACATCATTACATAAAAGGGTACGGTCTTTTTTTTTTTAGTTTTATTCATTTCAAACGGGCCGGATCCGGCCCGCGGGCCGTAGTTTGCCCACGGCTGCACTAGCTCATGCTGCTTATTTGAGCGCCTGCTTGTACTCACTAAAGTAGCAACAGCTAACATCTATTAAGCACTTACTGTGTGCTAGCATCTTACAAAGCACATTCCACGTGTTAACGAATTTAATCCTTCTGACAATTTTCTGACATAGCTTTGATAATTTCCATTTTACAGATGAGTTGACTGAGGCTCTGAGAGGCTTTATAATTGTGCAAGTTCTCACAGCTAGCACAAGACAGCCCCAGGATCCACACCTAGGATATCTAGTTCCAGATATGTGCACTTCACCTGTATCTTGCCTCTCTCCTCTCGGTGGGGAGAGGACAGCTCATGGTCATCCAAGCATGGTGTGAATGACAGGAGTCTTTGGGGGTAGGGGGTGGTGTTCTCTCTAGGGTGGTGCCAGGTGAGGTTCTAGTCCCCTTCCATGCTCTGGACAGAGTCTAAAGCTCTGATAGGATGCAAACTGTGTGGAAAGACGCTGGGAGGCAGGGAAACCAGCTCTTTCTCTGACATAGAGGGGCTCCAAGGCCTCTTGCCTCACAACACTACCACCCTCCCCAGTGCAGAACGCACACACAGTGCAACCTATGACACTGCCTCCCATTTTTATTTTCGTCTGTGTATATGCTGTACTCTCACTGAGAGAGAGGAAACTGTGCAATTTGCCCCAATACCCACCAGGTAAGGAGGCAAAGTCCCTCCCAGTCACTCACCTGAAGGAGAAGCAGCTAGTCCAAGTGTAGTGCCCACTCCACAGTGAGGCCAAAACCACACGTTCTAAACCTTCTCCATGAAACTCTGCGGGGAAGAAGCCTTGTGCGTCCCCTCTTACAGGGATTCACCGATTGCCGACACTTTTCCCTCAGCAGCCTGAGAAGGGCACCGCCATGGCTCTGAAATTCTCCATAGCGACGTGCAGAAAAGCTGCCTTTGCTCTGTGCAAGGAGGCTGGCTCCCAGGGGCTGCCAATTATAAAGACTGACTTGCATGGGCTGCATTTTGCAGCTGAATTGTGTTCTCAGCCTCCACGGTCATTAATTTCAGGTGCCTTGTTGCCACCAACATATGCAGCTGATATATTCTTCAAGTCCCCTCGAGGGTAGAAAAAGCACAATTTGGAATCTAGACAGACCAGGGTTCAAAGGATGTTCAGGGAGTTAACATTTTGATGCTTACATGCCTTATTTGGCCAAATGGAGCTGAAGGCCCTATCCCACTTTATTACTGGAGGATTAGTGAGATGACATATTCAAAGCACCTGATAATTACAACTACCATTCTGCCATCCACTGCGCTTAGGTCTGTTTCCTCATTTGATCCCAGCCACATTCTCTGAGAATGAGAGTATTATCCACAATACACAGAAGAGGCACATCAGGGAAATGTGATTTGATTAATGCCAAACAGCTGGAGAAGGAAGCCAAAATCAAACCCAGGTGGGAATGACTCCAAAACGTGTGCATTTACCCAGCATAGCGATTCCTACTTTGCTGGCATCCGGCAGGCAAGCTTCAGTCCCTTCTTCACTTCCATACTTCGGCTTTTTAAAAAGCAGTTTGGTCACTTCCAATACAACGTATGGCATCCTGACGAATCAAATGCTTCCTCAGTCACTAGGGAGTGAGGTATTCTGGGTGCCCTGCTCCAGGCAGACCTGTCTTAGAGGCAGTCTCCACTGCTCGCGGTTAATGATGACCCAATAGAAGGCTAAATTGTCAATTACCAGCTACAGTGAGATGGAGCCATAGGCCTTGAAATGCAACTTCTTTCTCTTCCCAGGAGCATCTGTTTTCTCCTAATTAGTGATTAGTCCTGGATGTTTTAGCACCAGCAGGCAAGGCTCCAGGGAAGACAAAGGGAGTGTGGGAGAGGAAAGGTAAAGTCAGCACTTTCAGTGAGTGGATCCAGAGGAAGAGGAGGAGGTAGTTGGAGGATGTTCTCTCCCATGGGACACTGGAGGGGATGGGGGTGCCCCGGAGGGGGGGGCCGTAAAGCATCGGTACTTTGAAGCGTTTAAGAGCAAATTATAAAAGCAATTAGGGAGGCTCTTTAGGTCAGCAGAGAAATGAAAGTGGATAATAAGTTTCATCCTCATGCCTGTGTTTCAGGACTTACATCATCACAGGGAACATTTTGATCATTTTAGCACTTGGAGTGCGGGAAACGAGTTAAGTCGGCTCGCGTGAATTGCGCTTACTCCGCGGGAGCCGTCTTTAACTGGGTTCATATAGATTTGCGGTGGAGTGCGGGAAACGTGTAAACTCGGGCCGATTGTAACTGCGTATTACCAAATATTTGTTTGTAACCCACCCTTTTGGTGGATGGAACAAAACCAAAAGACAGAGCCATCTTATATTTTGGCGGGAAATTCACCCGCACTCCAAGTGTTAAGCTCCTTGGGAAGAACTTTGGGCTGGGACACATCCACATTCAAGGACCCTTGCTTAGTTCAAAAGTGCCAGGATCGTGGCTCAATGGGCCATAATCCTGATAGTTTCACCTGCATCGTCATGGCCTCCATAATGAAAGGAAATGATACAGCCTTTAGTGCTTGATAGAGCTGTGCTCACTCATGGATTTACACGGAAACTCAAGTCAACAACCTGTCCTTTCAAGTTGTTCTCTTTCCCAGTGTCTCCCAAGTGTAACCTGCCTCAGGTTATCAGTGATGTTTTCCAAACGGTAAACAAGTTATTCATCAAATTATGCTCACTTCCTCCTGTCACTATGTACTGAGCCCCACATCCGCCATTACTGTGGATGCACCTGTACAATTTCCCCCATGAGAGTGGTCCTCTGCAGCCACAAACCGTAGGAACACTGGGGGGTGCAATCCTACTCCTGAGAAGTAAAGCGATTGAGTGCACTAGAGAACCTGTAGAAATGCGAGGCTCACCTACAGAAATAGCAAACACAGCCCACTAAATAGAGACTGGCAAGATCTTTTACACACCTCAGAAAGGCATTAAATGCATTTCTACCTACCATACCCTACTTATAGGAAGGTGTTCATCATTTCCTCATTCACAGATTCAATAATTGTCTTTGTGAATTAACTTCGTTTAATTGCAGATAATCACACTCGGCCTTGTGTCCCCTCTGGTGTCTGATCTTGGAGCCCACTGTTCAGCACCTTATTAATTTCAGCATCCTTAAGCTAAGACTTAGAATGACTCATCACTAACATAGAGGCAATGTAAAATTCTCTTGAGGACCAGATATATGGGAACCAATCCATCTCTACTAGATTTTCATATAAATTGGGGGACCAGAAAGAGGCAACTATAATTCTGGTAATAAGTTATTTCTGAAGAGCTAATTTATTTTGTTTGCAGACAGCACTTAAGCAGAAAATCCTAGGGTAGAGCTCCAATTAATTATTATATTCATTCAAAAAATAAAACACACCATTTTTGGGTTCCTCTTAGGAGTTTCTAACCTAGTAGACAGAACAAGCAGCTGGTAAAACCTCACTTTGATAAATATAACTGTCTTTTAATCAATGGCAATTTTGCCAGGCAAGCCATTTTACCAGACAAAACACATATTTGGAGGGCATATTCAATCATTGAGTAAATCTGCTTTGCGCAATAAGCCTGCTCAAAGTTCATCTGTTTTCACAATGAATTCCTTTTGATACCCTTACCTCACCAAGTGGTTTAGACAAGACATGTGCTCAGTGCTATCTTTTTATAACTAGCAGAGCTGCTTGGGGCACCAAGGCGGAAGTGAATCCGTACCAGGTCACAGCCTAACTCTGTCACTTGCCTAGTTGAATGAATTCATGTAAGATTCACGTCTCTGAGCCTCAGTTTCTCATTTGTAAAAGGGGCTGTTGTTTAAGTTAAACATTACATAGAACAGCATTTGTAACATGGTAGGTGTCAGTGAATGGGGGAGCCTGTGTGATTGCTACATCACTGCTGTATTCAGGTGTATTTTTAAACAATATGCTTTTATTGATTTTTATAGAGAAAGAGGGAGCAAGAAATAAAAATATCAATGATGAGAGAGAATCATTGATTGGCTGCCTCCTGCATGCCCCCTACTGGGGATCGAGCCCAAAACCCGGGCGTGTGACGGGGAATTGAACTGTGACCTCCTGGTTCATAGGTCTCGATGCTCAATCTCTGATCCTCGCAGGCTAGGCCAGGTGTATTGGCCAAGACTTCATTTCAGATATATTTTTTGAGCAGCGTGATTGAGGTCAAGGCCCAAAATAACAGTGGAAATGCAAAGGATCAGCTCTTAATTCCTTGATCTTTGACAAAGTGCAGACTGAAGTAAGCTAAACATTTACAAGTGTGTTGGACCCACAACTATTCAATACATCCTTTTTTGATGGAGTGCCAACTATGGGGGCGCCAGCGTAGAGTTTTGGGGCATCTGCCCACAGGTGAGCCCCAGCACCTAAGAATGAGAAAGCATTGAGATTAAGAAAGAAATCAGAAAACCCTGTGGGGGAGGAAAAGGGGAAGTGGTTGTTGAGAGGCTGAGATAGAAAAGCCGTCGCCCCAGACACCCCCACTCTAGCTGCTTAATGTTCATTCTTCCTTTATAGATGCTGATGAAAAGAAACAGCACAGTGTTCCATCTGCCAGACCTCTCAATTATCACAAGCTTTATACACTTACCCATTTAGTTCTATTCTCACAGGCAGTCTCCTGATCCTCAGTTAAACAAACTGGCTCCCCAAGATGTTGGTGCTCTTCGGACCCATCCCCAAAGGGCAGACAATCTTGAGTTGTTTTGGTTAAAATTAAGTTTGGCCTGTAAAGGAAGAAACTCATCATGTAGACTTATTTTAATTGTAGTAAAATATTCATAACACAAAATTTACCATTTTTAACCCTACAGTTCCATGGCATTAATTACATTCACATTGTAGTGCAACTATTGTCATCATCCATTTCCAGAACGTTTTCATCTTCTCCAGCTGAAACTTTGTACTTGTTAAGCAGTATCTCCCCATTTCCCCCTCCCCTCCAGTCCCTGGCAACCACCATTCTGCTTTCCGTCCCACTGAATTTGACTACTCTTAAGTGCCTCAAATGAATGGAATCAGGAAATATTTGTCCTTATGTGACTGATTTATTTCACTTAGCAAAATGTCTTCCAGGTTTGTACATGGTATAGCATGTGTCAGGATGTCCTTCATTTTTAAGGCTGCATAATTGTGCAGACCAGTGATTTTCAACTGGTGTGCCCCAAGAATTTTTAAAATGCGCAATAGCTAACTATTTAGTCAGGGGCAAAAGACCTCTTTTCCCTTTTCCCTTAGATTGTAAAAAAAAAGACAATAGCTGTCAGGTGTGAATAATCAAAATTTTACCTTTTTTTGTTGTCACATGATCTCACTCATTTATGGATAATAAAGACCCTTATAAACTGATGAACAAAAATAGATAAAGAGGCAGAGCAGCATCAGACTGTCAAACTACAGCGGGAAGGCCGGGGAGGGTTAGGGGGTGGGGTGGTAAGAGATCAACCGAAGGACTTGTATGCATGCATATAAGCATAACCAATGGACACAAGACACTGGGGGTAGGGGAGGCCGGGGGAAGGTCAAGGGGAAAAAAAAAAGAAACATATGTAATACTCTTTGTAATACTTTAGGCAATAAAACAAAATAAAAAAATAAAAAAATCAAGTAGGCTAAAAAAATAAAAAATAAATAAAATGAAGGAGGGAGGCCAGAAAGGGGAACTCTCATTAAGTCAATCAGGAAGTATAAGTGGGAGAACTCTGTGATAGCTTTCCCATCTTCCTCTTCTCCTCTGTGAGAGGCTCCTCTTTGCCATTCTGGATTGTAATTCTTTGTTGTTCCCAAATAAATTTATTTTGCTGGGGAAAAAAAATCACTGGTATAGGCTTTTAAATAAAGATGTTGGCCATCAATGGATGGCCTCCTTTTTGAGTCTTGCTATAAAGCTTCATGTTTGTCAGCCAGTATGGCTTGGTGGTTGAGCATCAACCTATGAACCAGGCAGTCATGGTTTGAATACTAACCTAAGTGTTTATTAATTTATTTAGTTTATATATTTATTTGCTTAAACTCTACAACAAATTTGACTCAAATAAATATTGAGATACAAAAGAAAGCATAGCATTTCTGAAGAGAAATGAAGCCCTTCTGGGTAGGTGAGCCCTTTAATATGTTATTCTCAACTTTGTTTAGTAGCTGTGCATGATATAATAACTGCTTGACTAATTTGGGTGATTTCATAAAGTTTATTTGTAACTTAGACTCATTAACACAAACACATGCTGTAATGTTCTCAGGACGTGGATCAAGCAGAGCATACCACTAACTTGTAAATTTTTTAATTTACAATTATTAATTTTTTAAGTTGTGTCTTCAACTTTTGAGATAGCATTGCTCATGAGACACTACTTCAATGTTTTTTGAACTATTATAGGATGAGATGAGACAGGAATGAAACACTTTTGATCACAGGAGAAAGATAACTTGGACATAATAATAATGGATGAAGACACTAGAAGGGAGAGCTTGTAGGATGAGATGGAGAACAAAATATTGGACCCCAACATCTGTGCTGCTACTTTAAAAAAATTTTGTGTATCACTCCTGTCATAAACATTGAGCTTCATTGTGCAACAAAGACAGATGAAAAGAATTTGCTGCTCCAACAACCAAAAAAAAGCATCTTCACTATGTCCTTGGAATCTGGCTTTTTTGTTTGTTTCAAATATGCAGTAGGACACTTGTGCCTGCAAGGGCTGGGGGCAGTTGTTTATATAACTAATTGGACATCCACATAAATATGAAAATTAAGACAGGTCCTTTTATTCTCATCTGTTATAAAGCCAGAGTTTGCTTTAAAGTTAAGAGGCATGCAGACTTGAGAGAGGTGTGGTTCAAGCTGTCCTACGCTGACTTGCTTACATAAGCTTCAAGGTTATGAGGTTGTCTCCATTTTGTTTCCAAATGGTAGGAGGGAAAAACATCTTTTAAGGATCACTCACCCAAGAAGAAAAATGCTTGGGAAGGTTTTAGGTTGAGGAGAACTTTTGTAGGTCAGAGGATAATGGCAAATGTGGAGAAAAGATTGAAGACAGAGATCCTGGTGGAGAAATATCCCGAGGAAAGATTATGAGCACTAGATTGAGGGTTGCCAGTGGCCAGGAGGAGAGACATCTTCCTCAGAAACAGGAGACAAATGAACAGTCAAGGAGAAGATAGAAAGGAACTTTGACACGGAGACAAAGGATGCTGGGGGAATTCAGTATCTTATCAACAAATTAGATAGTGAGGTCACCTTCTGAGAAAGAATGGGTGGAACCGGAGGATGGGGGTTAATGGGGGGGATGAGGACACATTTGTAATACCTTAACTAATAAAGAATTTAAAAATTAAATAAATAAAATAAAATCTTGAATGGATGGGGAAAAAAAGGTTTGAACTAACTACAGTGAGGAATGCAAGAGGAAAATACAAAGATGAGTGAAAGGAAGATCAAGAAGGGTGAGCTTAGCATAGTGGGGCATAAGAAGGTTGTGTTTGGAGGGGGTATTTGAAATCTCAGAGTTGGGGCAATTCCAAGTGATGATTATATCTCAGGTGATTATATCTATGTGAGTGCCAACAGAGGCCATGATAGTTGAGTAGATCAAGGAAACATGAGGCCAGGGTATCAGTGCCACATTCTGGCTTATGGAAGTCAAGGAAGAGACAAACAAAAGACATAGGAGAATTGAAAATTTCCACAATATCCGAATAACCCTTGCTTGACCTAGCCATGACTCATCTAACTACAGAGGCGGCTTTGGGTGTAAATATGACATAACTCTCAGAACCATCTAAGCAGCACTTGATTTAGGAGAGTAAGGTGTATTTACTTTAAAATCCCACCCTAGCATTGGATCTAATACACCATGAAGATTAAGGTGGATGGGTGGCGAGATTTAGGACAACCAAACCACTGTGTCCGTTTTTATAGGCACCAATGTCAAGGCAAAATAACAGTCTTTGCCTCTAGGTCTAGGAGAGTCCAGTGTATGCCCTTGCTCTTCTGTTTTAGACTTTAATCTAGACTGTCCAAGGAAGGCAAAGTCTCCTAGCCAGCATTTGGATTATAATTATCTCCTTTAAAATCATTCTTTTTTAAAAATATATTTTTGTTGATTTCAGAGAGAGGAAGGGAGAGGGAGAGAGAAACATTGATTGAGAGAAAATCACTGATCGGCTGCCTCCTGCATGCCCCCTACTGGAAATTGAGCTCACAACCCGGGCATGTGTCCTTGACTAAAATCGAATCCAGGACCCTTTAGTCTGCAGGCTGATGCTCTATCCACTGAGCCAAACCAGCTAGGGAACAAGTCATTCTTATAAAATATCTTTGAGAACCCAAGAGCAGGGTCTTTTTAATTTGTATATTTCTAAATTTTACCTAGTGCCTGGTACGTAAGTGTTCAAAAAATATACATGGAATGAATAAATGAATGAACAAGCTATGATCTATATTTCTCTAGAAAACATGTTCTTTGGGTTTAGAAGCCTCTGTGACCCTTCCCCATACCTGTTCCACTCAGTACATATATTTTCAAAGATACATAGCTATCATCCAACACAAATTATTAGCATTGGCAATGTAGGCAAGATCTACTTGCTCCTACGAAGTCTGCCCCAGATCCTCTGCTCTTTATCTTGCTGGTGCCTGGATTGGTAATAACACTGTTCAATTTGTTGTGCTTTCTGACAAAAGTAGAAGAGGTTGCACAAGGGCAATAATTAAGAGGTAGAATAGGTAGAATATGATACCTATATTGATATCAACACTCCTATTAGACAGAAGTCCTGGCTCTTTTTCTGCTTTGGAACTGCTGATTACCAACTGGTCTGTTCTGACATCTTTGTGTGAATTAGTGAAAGGCACCACCTATAGAGAAAGAGGCAGCCAACACATTTTCATGGCTTGGTGCAATCAACATGGGATGGATTTCCAACTCCATGTGACCATTTAGGCAGGTACCTGTGCAGTGAACAACTTGCCTATTTGCATGTTTTGCCCCCACTGGTGACTCACTCTAAAGCTTACTCATTTTTGTAGTTTAGCGCCAGCAAGTGGACGACTTACGGATATAAGTTTACCTTACCCAACTGTACTAATTCAGTAAAATTACAGGGAAAGGCAGAGAAGTAGACTTCTCTCCATTCTTAACCAGTTATCCATGTTTCCAGGGCTTTTTTCCCCCCCCATACAGTTAAAATAAATCAGGGAGTGAATCTTGGAGTTCCAGTAACACCACTTGATTAAACCATAGGTATGTGGTACATATACACAATAGAATACACCTCAGCCATAAAAAATGATGAAATAGCCGAAACCGGTTTGGCTCAGTGGATAGAGCGTCAGCCTGCGAACTGAAGGGTCCCGGGTTCGATTCCGGTCAAGGGCATGTACCTGGGTTGCGGGCACATCCCCAGTGGGAGATGTGCAGGAGGCAGCTGATCTATGTTTCTCTCTCATCGATGTTTCTAGCTCTCTATCTCTCTCCCTTCTTCTCTGTAAAAAAAAATATATATATATATATCTACACTAATAAAAGAGAAACATGGTAATTAGCGTACGACCGCTACCCTTTTCATTGGCTAATCAGTGAGTATATGCAAATTAACTGACAACCAAGATGGCGGCTGGCAGCCATGCACTGAAGCGAGCAGGGAGGCTTGCTTGCTTCAGTGACTGCGGACTCCAACGTTCCCCGCCTCACTTGCTGGCCTCTCAGCTGCAACTCTAAGC